TTTCTTTACTTTTTTATTTTTTCAGATTATTTTGTTTCTGACTAAAGTACCCTTTGGCTTGCGCGCAGAGCGGGTGAACGAGGTGGGCGGCTCTAGCGCGCGGCGCGGTGACCAGCACCGCGGAGTGCGTTGGGCTGCCTGCCACCCCGGCGCTCTGCCGGCTCTGTCCCACGCGCCGCAGCTGTTGCGAGCTCAGGCTCAGCGCCGCCGACCACTACCGACCACTACACACATTCTCGGAGGATTCCGACGAGTGCGCGTCGTAAAATCCCGAACGTGACGGCGAGGTAAGTAGTCGGCGGCCAGCGCATTGCATATTGCGGCGTATATGCAGTGGCTGCACCACATCCGGTGATCCCGCCCCGGCGCCGCCGGCCTCAAGTCCGCCAAGTCTGGCTTTTGAATTATGCCACCCAGCCCAGCACGGCGTCGGCCACCTCGGCAGGGTTACCCCGTCCTGCACGGCGGCCACCTGCCGCCCCCGCCGAGTCCGCGGCGCGCAGCCCTACCCCACAGGCACCCCGGGCAGGAAATACTCTGCGCGCCCGGGCCGGCGGGGCGCAGCAGATACCCCTCGCGGCGTGTCGACTCACCTCGTCGCAGGAGGCGCACCGCGGCTTGAGCTGCTCGGCGTAGTGCCGCTCGCAGAAGAGCGCGTCGTCGTGCACGCAGTAGGTGAGGTCGACGAGGAGCTCGCGGCACTGCGAGCACGAGAAGCAGGCCGGGTGCCAGCGCATGGCCGCGCCCAGCTTGGGCGCCACGACGGCCACCTCGTGCCCCGCCACGGTCCGCCCGCACTCCGGGCAGTCCTGCACACAGACACAGCACCACGCCGTCAGCAGGAGGTCGTCGTCGTCGTCGAGCACCACCTCACATCAAGCTCTGCGACGCACCATGTCCTGGCTAGCGTGGTCCTGCACGTAGCCGATGTCCAGGGCGATCTCGTTCCGGGCGTGGATGAAGTCCTCGTAGGAAGCGTGGTGCTGCTTTTCCACGTGCCGGCAGTAGGCCAGCGCGAGGTCCTGCTTGGGCAGCTGCGACACCAGCTGCCGGTCTCGGTGCTTCTCGCCCGGCCCGCCTAGCTGCGGCACCTTGTCCGCGGGAAGCGCGCTGAAGTACTCCGCGATCTGCACAGTGGAGAAGGATTAGCATGACCACCATACCACGTTCGTTGTAATTGTGTACCGTAACCGAGGGCGCTATAGCAGAGTTTGAAGTGCACACATGATTCCCGAAATTCTTGATTTCGGGTGATTCGCGTGCGGTTAAATTTTTTCCTTAGGTATTTTTTAGTGGTCGTCCGAAGATCATGGCGCCTAACAGTCAAGTAGCGAGTAGGCAACCTAACGTACCCGCACGCTAGAGTAGACCAAGAAAAACTTTTTGTTAAAATGTCTAAGTTCACATTGCCCATCTCGTGCCAATCCATAAAAAACGCTCTCCAAAAAAATTTCAGCCAGATCGGACAATATTTGACCCTCCCGAAGTGGGTTCAAAGTTAACATTAGTTTCTTATGGGTCATCGGGCCAAAACGTTACACATTTGGCCTGTGGCTCAA